ACCTACAAATGGAATAAATATAAATCCATTAGAAAACCAGCCAGAAAATTAACTGAATATTTGCAGCTTTGCCTTTGAAGGGAGTTAAAGGCGTGGATGGTATGTCTATGGGGATGGCAATATAAAGACCAAAGAGTTGAAAGAAAACTACTGTCTTGTATCTCTGAGAAATGAGAATAAAAGCAACTTTTCCACGGTCTTTCAATCTCCAGGTGCTGCTAGCCATGCCTAAGCTGAGAGTATTATTTTCTGTTTTCAAGTTAGCTTTACACAGCACAACTTAATCTCAGCATCTACTCTTCCAAGTATTACACAAGGTGAGGATTTATAGGAAAACAAAAAAATCCTTTCCTGTTCCCAAGCTTGGGCTCCTTAGCTCCTGGAACCACATTTAAGTAAGGGTGCTTTGTTTCAGAGGGTGATTAGAGTGGCGCCCTTGGTACTGATTATGGCACTGAGCTATTTGTACTGCCCAAGTCTGAGCACTGCATTATATTAAAACTTCGATTATGGGGTCGGTAGTGATTAAAAATTATCTCCTATCTTAAACTTAGCATCAATCATATATCTCAGCAAAAGAAAGACTACTGAGTATGGAACCACAGGAATCTGGCACTTTTCTTCTTTTATACTTGCACAGGAAAAAAAAAGAGAGACCCCGCAATAGCACCCATGGTTCCTCCATTCTTACATGGAAATTTCAAGCATTGTGAGCTCTTTACCAAGTATAATCAGTGGGTTGCTATGACTGCACTACATTAAATCAGATGTAACCGGCCACTGTCTCTTGCATTAATAGAGCCCAAGTTTTCTAGAAGTAGAATGAAATCATTTCAGTTTCTTTTTAGGAGGCAGAAAAAGAAGCCCTTTCTGTTCCAGAAAATAGCACCTCTGACTGTTTCTCTAGACGTAGGGGTGTCGAACTCAATCAGAGAAGGGGCCAAAATCTAAAATCCAGCCTAAATCGCGGGCCGAATGGTTTACTGGACAGTCATAAACTGTCATTGTGATGGAAACGCAGCGGAGTGCAGTGATGACAGCGCGGTGCAGGCCACATTGCAAGGCCTGGAGGGACGGATTTGGCCCGCGGGCCTTGTGTTTGACACATGTGCTAGAGCTTTTCCATTTCCAACGGTTCACCATCTAAAATTGAGTGTTCAGTTATCTAAAAGCCTCTAAGCATAGATGTACTCAAAAGCTGGCATGTACATGAGTTATGGGTGGAGTGGAACTCAGCATGAGTTAGTTGGATGAGTTAGTTGCCTACATTTGTCACAAACAAGGCACAGGCTCATGCTTGGACAGTTCAACACCATCACCGCTACCTAGGCCTGTCAATACTTACATGTCCCTACTTTACCCAGTGCTATGATAGCTTTATTCTATAGGTTTAAAAAAAACAGATTAACTAGATAGAAATTTTTAATTACGTTTCACTTTAGAAAACATTTAACCATTTTCCTCAAATGTGTCAACAAAGGGAAGGTTGTACACATGGTCTTATGCTATTTCTCTAAGTTATAAAATATACTAGAGGCCTGATGCATGAAATTCCTGCATGGGAGCTCCCGCCCCTTCACCCCAAAGGTTATCTGGAGGGACATCCAGTCTAATTAGCATATTCTGCTTTTATTATTATTCCTGCACACTCATCTTATTGGGTGTCTATTATTTGTCAGGCACTGTTCTAAGTGTTTTGCATGCATTATCATATTTAAACCTAAAAAATACCCTTCAAGTTAGTATCTTTACTGTCCTTATTTAACAGAAAAGGAAATTGTTTACGTTTTTTGCCTAGGATCATACAGCTTGTAAATGAAATTCAGTCAACTAGTAAGAGAGAAATCATATATTTTTTTCTCATTTAAAAAAGATGGAGAATCTCGCCGAAGCCGGTTTGGCTCAGTGGTAGAGCGTCAGTCTGCGGAATGAAAGGTCCCAGGTTCGGTTCCGGTCAAGGGCATGTACATTGGTTGCGGGCACATCCCCAGTAGGGGGTGTGCAAGAGGCAGCTGGTCGATGTTTCTCTCTCGTCGATGTTTCTAGCTCTCTATCCCTCGCTCCTCCTCTCTGTAGAAAATCAATAAAATATATTTTAAAAAAAAAGGAAAAAAAATGATGGATAATTTGCTCCTGGTTAAGTTCTCAGATGTTCCTGAAACAGAACATGAATGGAATAAGATCCAGGTGAGTCTGCAATCCTGGTCACCTGAGCACAAGTTCCCAACCACTTCTTGGACACAAAGTGTTTAAATTGTCTCTCTGCTCTGCCAATCACTTAGCTATCCCCATGTTGTTGTTCCTGCTTAGGGGACAAATATCAGTGAACTTCAGGAATTAAATAAAAGTCTAATGCAGTTTTGATAAGAAAAAAGCAAACTTTGTTTTCAGGGCTCATGACTTTAGAATTATATATGTTCTCATGGCAAAATTTTGAAATAACTTGGAAGGTGGTGAGGGTAATTTTTTATACTTTATACACTTAAATACAACAAACTACATATAACTACAAAACTACAGACAGTTTTGCAGATCTGGTCCAACAAGCAGGCTAAGGGGGGGGCCACAACTGGTGGTCTCAAATTCCTATTACCAAAACTACCCTCTCATAAATCTGAATCCAATCCAAGAAGTCTGTTAATAGCTGGTTGTTTAAGATTAAGTTTGCGATGTAGTAACAGAACTGTGTAGGGGGCAAATATGCTTACAATATGTCCAAGCAAGTTTCGGTCAAGTCAATAATAGTACTTAATGCTAATAAAAGTACTTGTACTGTTTTCCCTCTGCTGGCAGACCCTAGTCACTTAAAAAAAAAAAAAAAAAAAAAAAAAAAGACTGTATCACACATCCCCAGCAAGTATCTCTGGGGCTGTAAAGCAGTTAAGATCCAACAAGGGGAGAAATCGGGAAGCATAAAGAAATAAAAATTTTCATTATTCCAAAACCCATCTCATTTCCCAAAGTACTGCTTGTGTGCTGACTTTCTTAAAGACCCCGTGCAAAATCTTGATCCTCCAAAAAAATAAAAAATAAACCCATTTGGAGCCAAGACAAGATGAAGTCAACGACTGGTACCATCAACCATCCATTTGTTTAACTGAGTCTGGTTACGTTTCTAGCCTCGTGGGGGCCAAGCCGGACCACGAGGGTGAAGACAGGAGGCATGGAGGAAGGGAATGAAGAAAAGGAGAAGGGTGGGGGTGGGGGTGGACGGACCTCCGGGCCACACTTCTTTCTAGTACCAACAGAAAAGAGGAGCCGAATACTGACCTAAATCATCTCTCAAAGGCGCTTTATAAATTACAGGGACAAAGGGTGGGGGTGGCGGGTGGCCTGGGAATCCTTATGGACACCCAACCCTCTGACCCGCCCCCTCCCCCTCCAGCACAAGGGAAGGAAGACAGAAAGCAGAGCTCAACTCGGCCATTGGCGAGAAGCCCCCTCCGGGTTCCAATCGCCCATCCTCAGGCCCCCCTAGAAACACACACACACACACACACACACACACACACACACGTAAACATCAAACCACCCCCCCTCCGGGGCGGACACCCGCGCCCAGAGAGGTCCCTAGAACCGGAGGCCGGGGCATTTACTTAGTTCGATTTTTCTTGCTTACTCATTTCCCTCCAGCACCCAACCCCCCGTTCCCACTCCAAAACCCCGCTCAGCCGACCGCCTACCCTCTCGGCTGCAGCCCCCCAACAGAGCCCGGGGCCCCCGTGGCGGCGGCGGCAGCCCCCGCGCGGTCCCGGCCACTAACCTGCTGCTGTAAGGGCATTTCCGAAACCAGCCAGGCTCCGGGAGAGGTGGGGGGCCGGCGGGAGAGGGGCCCGGAGGGCCGAGCAGACCGGCGGCGCCGGGCGAGGGCGGGCGCCCGCGGGGGGGTGGGGAGCGGAGAGGGAGGGTGGCCGTGCCGGGGGCGGGTGCGAGGGCGCCGGGACCGTCCCGAGCCTGGGAGCCGGCGAGCAGGAGGAAGTGGGTGCCCCCTCTCCCCCAGCAGCGCCCCCTCCCGCCGCCGCCTCCTCCCCAGTCACAGGCGCGTCCTCCGCGCACGTGTGCGAAACGTCACCGGCGGGTCCCGGGGAGAGGGACACAGAACCGGGCGGGCGGCGGGACGGGAACTCGGCTGCACCCGCCCTCCGTCGCCGGGGGGCGGGGAGGGGGACAGGGCGGGGAAGGAAGGGGTGAGGGGAGAGGCGGGTCAAGGGCAGGCCCGGGGCCGGGCGAGGAAGGCCCGGGCGCTCGGGCCACGCGGGCGCTACCGCTGCCGCCGCCGCCAGGATGCGCCCAGGCCGGGGCGCCCTCTGGCTAGCCCCTCGCCCCCAGGCAGCCCACGCCCCAGCCCGCACCCGACTGCCAGCTCCACCGCCTGACCTACCAGATCCACCCCAACTGCCCCCAGCCCCTTTGTTGCCCGGAGTTACAGATCCCAAAATGTGACAAGCGCAGCCCCAACAGAACCTCTGCGCTCCAAGCAGCACGCCTTAGGGATCCCCCGGCCGCCCACAGGCCTTGGAGGCCGGCGAGGGGCGATCAGCCCAATCGTCCCCCTGTCCCCACTCCCCCAGGGTCCCCCGACTCCCCAGTTCACTGCTCCCTCCCCCACCCCCTTCTTCTCCATCCGGGGCGTGACCCCATCCTACGCCCGAGAAAGAGGAAGCTTCGAGTTGGAGGGGAGGGGAGAGTGGGGGTAGGGAAAAGTGCAGGAAAAGAAGGGGGGCCACGAAGAAAAGTTTCAGAGTGTCTGAGGTTCTTGGCGCCAAGGCGATCCCCACGGCCCCGCGCATCTCGCAGAGCCCCCCAGCCCCACGGGCGCTGAGGGTAGCACCCAAGTCTAACAATAAACCCTCGTGGGAGGGCCAGCCCGTAGGCCCACGGGGCTCGGCCTGCGTCCTCCCGGGGCAGCCCGCAGCGCGCCCACCAACCCGCGCGGTGCGAACCCGCAGCCACCCTCCCCCCCACCTGGGCCGGGGACAGTGGGGACAGGAGGGCATTACCGGAGGGCCGCCGCCGCCGCTGCTGCCGCGTCCCAGCGCTGGTGGCTGCTGCAGCAGCCCGGCTCTGCCGGAGGGTCCGTGCGGCGTGGTGTAGAGGAGGCTGCCGGCCGTCAGCTCCGCGCCGGGGGCACAGGGAAGGACAGGGCCGGCGGCGACGGCGCCGCTTTGGAGGGAGGAGGAACAGGAGGTGGTGGACGTGTTCGTGGTGAGGATCTGGATGTACGCGCCCGGGGCGGCGGCGGCGGCAGCGGCTGCAGCGGCGGCGGCGGCGGGGAAGCCGGGGCTGGCTAGCAGTGCCCTTTTGTCCATGGAGGCTGCAGCGGCGGCGGCGGCGGCGACGACAGTCGCCCCCTCCCCACCCCCGGCGGTCACCAGGTACTGCTCCAGGGCGGGCTGGATCCCCTTTTTCATCTCTCGCTCCTGCTCTTTTTTTTTTATTGCTAAGATTATATTAATGTATTTTTTCAAATTTCTTTTATTATTTGCAGTCGGAGTTTCCAAGTCTCTCCTCCTTCTCCCCGCCCGGCGCTTCCGAGCCCCTTCTCTCTCTTTTCTTTTTTTATTTTTTCGGCACCGCACGGGCCCCCGGGGCCAAAAATAATCGGGGCTCTGGAGAGAAGAGGGTCCCGGCCGCACGGATATCGGGCCCCGAGGGAGGATGGAGGCGTCGGGGGCGGCCGATGCAACGGATTGCGAGGCGGCGGCGGCAGCCCGGCTGCTGCGGCCGGCAGCTGAAAAATGGCTCCAGGAAGCTGCTGCTGACAATGAATGAAGGGATACGGTTTACGCGCCAAGGTCCTCCCGCGAAACTCAGATTTCCCGCCGGCATTTCAAACCATATTTGCATATCCCCGCCCCTCAACCCGCCGAGGACCGTTCCCACAGCCCATTGGGTCTATGGCTCCTTACTTCAGTCCCAATCGTAGAGCCGGAGCACGAGCGGATGGTTCCCATTGGCTAACGTGCATCATGGTTACCCGGACGACAAGGGCTTATTTGCATAGGCCACCTCGATTGGCTGGGAGAGAGAAGGGGGTGTTTTAGAAGGCGGGGCCAAGCTTTGCCTTCTCTCCCACGGAAGGCCACGCCTGGTGCAGGCTCCGCCTCGTCCCCGCCCACCAGCCGGATGGGCGCTGCTGACCTGGGCAGGGACTCCGCGCCCCGCAGACTCAGTGTAGCTGATCGAGAGCGCAAGTTTCGCTTTTGGAAATTGTCAAGGTGACTAAGGGGACACCTCCGGAAACTCCCTTTCCTTTTACCAGTCGGTGTAATAGATGAAGAACCACCGAAGATTTCCCCAAATATGTGCCAAAGCCAAGTGGAACCACGCGGACCTGGCAGGTGGAAGCGGAGCCCTTTAAATCATGGGTTTCACTCTTCCTGAATCCAGCCAATGCCGGGACGAGAGCTGATCCGGAGGCTGAGGCTGACAGACAGAAGCATGTGGGCCGACGGAAGCATGGGGGCAGAAGACTGGACTGACGGGATGGCGGGCAACGTTTAGTTAACATTATTGATCATTCTTGGGAGCCTCATTATTAGTCTAGATTGGATTTAAGTAAAAATAAACTCTATTTTGTCGAGTGGAATATTGGTCTGGATCTAGCAAACAACTCACGCTGGCCCAGAAGCACCCGGGGCAGTTAATCAGGGCTAACCTAGGACTGACTGATCTGCGGGTTTCTATCATAATCCGCCCAACAGTAATCCGAAGAAGTACACGTTTCCCCGCGATGGTGTCTTGCTCCCAGCCAACCCTGCTGCACGTCCGGGCACCAGCACTTTACAATCCTGGTTTCCTAGCAAGTGCTCTGACTAAAAGCAAACTAGACGACCCAAGTCTATTTCAAAATATTAAAGCAAAAAAAATTTTTTTTAGTTAACTAGAAATTGTCACCCCAAAAAATCAAATTATTGTCAATGACATTTGTATTGGTGCAAGTACTCATTGCACCTAAAATTGAAGAATGCTCTATGAGACTGAGCAGGAAAAGGAACTCCTGCAGGAATGTGAGGAATGGTGTATGCCATGAGTCATATACACTGAGAACTGTGCAAAATTGTTAGTGAGCTGGTGTTCACTGGGTGATGAGGATTCAATACCTCAAGCCCTTTCCCCAGATATCATTATTATTATTATTATTACAATATTATTATTAATTTCCAAAAACTCATATACTCAATCTTACGAAAGGCCTGAAAAGACATGTCAGTTCAGGCTCAAACTCCTTAATATTCCAGTCCTATTACCTTGTCTGAAACAGAATGAGCTAAATATAACGTTAAATTTTGCACCAGATGTTATATTTTGGTGTTGCATTTAAGCTAGTTAAGGATCCATGCATGGCCTAGTACCAAAACAATTATTGACCCAAATATTTATCACAGATAGAACTGACATTATCTTTAGGACAGATCAATTCCTGGTTCAGGTAGAGGCTAATGTGTTATCAACTTCCTTGATATTCCATCAATGTTGCTTTCCACTGTAGGTCCCTATGGGAAAACTAGTAATTACTTAGATATGACCACCTGCAAAACATCACTAATAGCATGCAGTTAGTGGTGGTGGTGAGGGTTGTGGGTGGAGGATGCTACAATGTACAAACCTCGGAAATGGGACTGTGTACAAGATCCCTGCTAGAGCTTCCATGATGGACACAGCCACAGGGGAGCAAGTGTTCACAGTCCAAATCCACACCTGTGATTCAGGTTCAGAAGGCGTTGAAATATTTACCCTTCTACCTTATATAAGTTATGTTCTTTAATGTAGGGTATTTGGCAGAGAAACACATGATTTGACCTTTTTATGTCCAATGAACCCCAGGATGAGAAGGTAGAGGGAAGAGTTCAAAGAGAAAAGAGGAGGTGTTGGAAGACAGGATGCTAAAATTTGATGTAGGCTATTAATTTGTGGAGAGTTAGCCTGCTTTATTAGAAAGATAATGGGCTTTGGAGCCAGAATAATCTGGGTTTAAATTCTGGCTCTGACACTTACTACAGTAGCTATATAACTTTCATCTTTAAAATCCTGTTTTCTCATGTTACATGGGAACCCATATTGCAGTACCCATAGGAAAGGTTATGATGAAAAGAAGCAAAAATAAATGCAAAGAGCCATCATTTTTATTAAGTGGAAGCTATTTATGATTCTACTTATTTGTGTGGTTGTGCTTTGCATCTCTTTGTAGTCCAATCTGACTCCTAGCCTCTAATCTACCTACTGTCCCTGGATATCCACTTGCTGTGACAGCTTGGCTTTGTCCAAGAGTAGGAGCACAGCCGTGTCCTGGCTAGTAGGGATTATAGAATCTGACTCAGAAGTTTAGGATAATAAAATAAAGTCAACTCTGCTGCTCTCCCTCTCTAACCTGCTCATCTGTTAGTGGCCAGCTTCTGGATGGCTCGTAAGCCTGAGCCCTCTTGACCTTCCCTTAAAGGTTAGACTGTTCCAGCACTAGAGCCAGACTGCTCTTGCCAAACACTACTCCCCTTTCCCTTGCTCTGACAGTGGCCCAAGGCAGACAGTTGTCCCAGAATTGGCCTGTGTAGTTGATTGAATGGTCTCCACCCCTTCCCAAACACATTTAAGTCATAACCTCCAGGACCTATGACTATGACCTTATTTGGGTAAAGGGTTTTTGCAGATACAACTTAGTTAAGAATCTCTAGATAAAAATCATTTCAGATTATTTGTATCCAAGGAAAAAGTAAAATATACTGGATTGAAAAGAAAGGTGTTTCAAATGTGTGTATTTCCTTGCCTGTTTTTGAAACAGAACTTTATGGTAAAATAAAGATCCAGAAAACCAAATAAAATATATTTGGGTGAACAAATTATTATTATAAAGTGAACACTCTTGTCAACCACCTGGTCAAGAAATAGAACTTGATCTGCACCCATTTCAAATGCCCCATTCTCATTACACCCCTTCTGAAGTTTCATCACTTCTCCAAGTCCATTTAAAACATGTTGGTACTTTTTTAATTATCTTAACCTATGGTTCCTCATCCACCTTTTTTACTTACCTTAGAACGTATCTTGAAGAATGTAATGAGTTGAATGGCAGCCCCTCCCAAAAGATACGTCCCCTGGAAACTGTGAATTTGACCTTGTTTAGAAAAGGGGTCTTTGCAGAATAGTTAATGTAAGGATCTCAAAATGAGGTTATTCTGGACTAGAGAGGAGCCTAAGTTCAATGTCATTTGTTTTAGAAGAGCAGAGGAGAAACACAGAGGAAATCATGTGAAACCTCTTTTAAAAATTTATTTCAGAGAGAGAAGGGAGAGAAACATCAATTTGTTTTTCCACTTATGTGTTTATTGATTGATTCTTGTACATGCCCTGACCTGGGATCGATCGAACCCACAACCTTGGAGTATTGGGATGATACTCTAACCAACTGAGGGACCCAGCTAAGGCCCCTGCTGACATCTTGATTTTGGACTTCCGGCCTCCAGAACTGTGAGAATAAATTTCTGTTGTTTTAAGCCACCAAGTTTGCAGTCATTTGTTATAGTAGCTCCAGGAAACTCATTTAAGGAATTTGGCCGATTGCACACTCATGGTACAGTTGATCATTTTCTTCTGTTCTCTATTTCCTGAAGATTTGCAGCTGGATCCACAGTCTGGATCAGACTGGTTTTATTCCTCTGGTAAATCTGAGGCACATGTTTGCTTGTCACTTTTCGATGATCTTAGCAGTCATTCATACTCTTTGCTTTCTTTTTTTCTTATAATAGTTATATGTGATATTTGTCCTCAATATTCTTCTGTTGCTCATTTGCATGTGAAATTAGTACTCCTGGACTCCTAGAGTGAGAGGGTTCAGATAAACTTGTCTACCTTCACAGAGGCCCATGTTCTAATGAATATGGAAGCTCTTGAATATGGAAGCTCACTCCCTGATATTATATTTCTTTCTCCTGCCCTCTGCACTTCCTACTTCAGCCTATTGTGCCCTCTGCACTTCCTACTTCCCTTTCCTTCATCTCTCTTGTCCCTATCCTGATGAATTTGGGTTCCTTTGTCAGCGGTTCCTTGATGGTGCCTTCCTGTCTTAAAAGGGAGCCCTCAGGGTCAGTTTTGAGAGGGGCATGTGAAAATTCTGCAGTCCCTTCAGACTTCCTTCCTTATCCCTTGCTCTTGCCTGCTCTAGGAGGCCAAACGCCTCTCAGTTTCAGCTGCCCTTCCCACATCAGTCCACTCTCACTACAGTGAAGATCTGCTGGCATGCATATATATATAAATTTAATAATTTTATTTATTTATTTATTTATTTTGCTAATTCTTTATTATTGAAAGTATTAGGTATTCCCCCCTTTTCCTCCACTGACTCTTTCCAACCCCGCCTCCCCTACCCCCTCAGCCCCAGGCCCTCATTGCCACATTGTCTGTGTCCATGGGCCATGCCTTCCCTCTGAGATTCCTCACTCTGATCCATGTTTCCATGTCTCTGGATTCACTCAGTTCATCAGATTATTTTGTTACTTAGATTCTAAATATGAGTGAGATCATGTGATACTTGTCTTTTTCTGATTGACTTATTTCACTTAGCATGATACTCTCCAGGTCCCTTCATGCTGTCTTTTTTACAAAGCTTTTTATCCACTCATCTACTGATGGGTACTTGGACTGTTTCCAGATCTTAGCTGGTATAAAATTGTGCTGCTATGAGCATAGGGGTGCATGCATTCTTTCTGACTGATGTTTTGGGTTTCTTAGGCTATATTCCTAGAAGTGGGATCACTGGGTCAAATGGCAGTTTCATATTTAACTTTTTGAGGAAACTCCATACTGTTCTCCACAGTGGCTGCACCAGCCTGCATTCCCACCATC